CCCTTTGGGTGTTGATCACATGACGATGTGAACTATGGGTATTAATCACATACAGATGTGAATATTGGTGTTAAATCACATGGCGATGTGAACTAGATTATTGACTCTAGTGCAAGTGGGAGATTGAAGGAAATATGCCCTAGAGGCAATAAAAAAGTTATTATTTATTTCATTATTTCATCATAAATGTTTATTATTCATGCGAGAATTGTATGAACCGGAAACATAATACATGTGTGAATACATAGACAAACATAGTGTCACTTGTATGCCTCTACTTGACTAGCTCGTTAATCAAAGATGGTTAAGTTTCCTAACCATAGACATTAGTGGTCATTTGATTAATAGGATCACATCATTAGAAGAATGATGTGATTGACTTGACCCATTTTGTTAGCTTAGCACTTGATCGTTTAAGTATTCTGCTATTGCTTTCTTCATGACTTATACATGTTCCTATGACTATGAGATTATGCAACTCCTGTTTACCAGAGGAACACTTTGTGTGCTACCAAACGTCACAACGTAACTGGGTGATTATAAAGGTGCTCTACAGGTGTCTCCGAAGGTACTTGTTGGGTTGGCATATTTCGAGATTAGGATTTGTCACTCCGATTGTCGGAGAGGTATCTCTGGGCCCTCTCGGTAATACACATCACTTAAGCCTTGCAAGCATTACAACTAATGAGTTAGTTGTGAGATGATGTATTACGGAACGAGTAAAGAGACTTGTCGGTAATGAGATTGAACAAGGTATTGGGATACCGACGATCGAATCTCGGGCAAGTAACATACCGATGACAAAGGGAACAACGTATGTTGTTATGCGGTTTGACCGATAAAGATCTTCGTAGAATATGTGGGAGCCAATATGGGCATCCAGGTCCCGCCATTGGTTATTGACCGAAAACGTGTCTCGGTCATGTCTACATAGTTCTTGAACCCGTAGGGTCCGCACGCTTAACGTTTCATTGACGATATAGTATTATATGAGTTATGTATGTTGGTAACCGAATGTTGTTCGGAGTCCCGGATGAGATCATGGACATGATGAGGAACTCCGGAATGGTCCAGAGATAAAGTTTGATATATGGGATAATAGTGTTTGATCTCCGGAAGGGTTCCGGAATTCACCGGAAGAGGTTCCGGATGTTTCCCGAAATGTTTGGGTATGAGAACACGTTATTTGGGCCAAAGGGGAAAGCCCACAAGGTTTTTGGAAAGCGCAAAAGGAAGTTTTGCGGAGTCCAGGGGCCAGACGCCAGGGTCCCTGGCATCTGGGTCCAGACGCCGGGAACCCTGGCGTCTGGCCCTGGAGTCCGAGAAGGACTCTTGCCTTTCGGGTGAAACCGACTTTGTGGAGGCTTTTACTCCAAGTTTCGACCCCAAGGCTCAACATATAAATAGAGGGGTAGGGCTAGCACCCAAGACACATCAAGAAACACCAAGCCGTGTGCCGGCAACCCCGTCCCCTCTAGTTTATCCTCCGTCATAGTTTCCTTAGTGCTTAGGCGAAGCCCTGCGGAGATTGTTCTTCACCAACACCGTCACCACGCCGTCGTGCTGCCGGAACTCATCTACTACTTTGCCCGTCTTGCTGGATCGAGAAGGCGAGGACGTCATCGAGCTGAACGTGTGCAGAACTCAGAGGTGTCGTGCGTTCGGTACTTGGATCGGTCGGATCGTGAAGACGTACGACTACATCAACCGCGTTGATAAACGCTTCCGCTTAGCGATCTTCAAGGGTATGAAGATACACTCCCCCTCTCGTTGCTATGCATCACCATGATCTTGCGTGTGCGTAGGAATTTTTTTGAAATTACTACGTTCTCCAACAATACCACCATTAAGCGTGTGTCTGAGCTTATCAATCCATCTAACTAGTCATGGAGGCAAGAGCTTGTTTGATATACTTTCATTGCTCCTGATGCTGAAGCAATATTGAACATCCCTATTCGGCAAGGAGGAGGAGATGATTTTCTTGCATGGGCATTCGAAAGATCGGGGAACTACACTGTGAAGACGGCGTACCGTGCTCTCGTGACTCAGAAAGAGTGTGTTGCTCTAGAGGAAGGGACGGATACCGGAACCTCATAGGATGATACACAGTTGTGGAAATCCCTATGGAAATTGAATGTCATCCCGAAAGTTAGAGTGTTCTGTTGGAGGGTTCTACGTGGAATTCTCCCAGATGAGGCCACTCTCAACTATCGACATATTGCAGAGATTCGTCGATGCAAAGTTTGTCTGACTATGGATGAATATCTGGAGCATGCACTCATACATTGTTCACATGAAAAACGCTTCTGGGAAGAAGCGTGTGCTTGGTTTAGTCTCAGATTGCCTCGTCTTCATCTAGATTCATGGGCGCGGGATATCACATGTGATCCTAGGTTTACAGATGATGACCGCGCCAAGATCACCACGATAATGTGGTCTATATGGCACTCCCAGAACCGGATTAAGCACGGCGATGAGGGGAGGGATCCTACATCAACGATCAGGGCCACCAAGGAAGCAATCGCCCTCCTTCATCTACCACGATGAGACGCGATGATCCTGCCTGGATTCGGTTGGAGACCACCAGATGATGGTGTCGTCAAGATCACTATGGACGGTGCCTTAAACATACCAGATGGCAGGGGCGGTGCGGGAGGGGTGGCTCGATCCTCTTCGGCGCTCCTGGGAGCATGGTGCAAGCCATACTTGGGCATATCTGATCCCTTGATTATGGAGGGTTTATCACTACGAGATGGAGTTCATTTCGCTTCTCTTCAAGGATTCTCGCACGTGGTAATGGAAGTTGATTGCTTGGAGATGATGACGCTCTGGAACACTCGCCACAATTCTCGTTCAATTGTGGCTCCTTTATTGTTAGAGATAGGAGAGCTATGTAATAATTTTACTTCATTTGTTATTCAACATGTAAACAGGCCAGCTAACCTCCCGGTGCATCTTTGTGCAAAGCGTGCTTGCACTTTGAATGTGATCGAGAGCTGGCTTGAGGAGACTCCTAGCTTTTTGGGGACTAGCCTATTGGCTGATTGTCCCAAGAATGTTTTCATATGAATAAAGCTCTCTGTTTTTCCCGCAAAAAAAAGGGAAATGGGCCAGCTTTTTTTTGGTTGGGTCGAGATTTTATTGTTGCTCGTAAAACACAATATTGTTGAACGAAAATTCATGGACCTGTCACAAATACGTAGAGGTTCACATGATTTTTTTTAAAAAAACTCGGAAATATCTCTTTCAAACATTAAAAAAGGACGGCGCTAGGCGCGCCGGCGCCGGCCCAAATTTAGGCCGGTCGGTTGTCGAGCGTACGATACAGCCATTTTTAACCGTACAATATAGTTTTTTTCTTCGTCCCCAAAAGTCAAACATGCAGGAAAAAGGTAGTTAGGCGTGCTTGCCGGCCGGACTCCACACGCGCCCACCAGCCGCCCGCACTTGTCCTCGGCTTCTCGTGCTTGCCGGTCATTCGTGCCACCGCGCTCACCGGCCGCTCGTGCCACTCGCCTCGGCTGCCTCCGCTCGGCATGGTTGCAGCTCGAACATAGGCGGGTTCCACAGCACGGTCGACATGGTTGTAACATCCCCGATGCCCCCGTCGCCGGCTCATCGACTTACACTGCCATGGAAAAAAAATCTAAAACAACAAAAAATTTATTACTTGGTTGAAGCAAAAACATTTGCTGGTTCCAGCAAACTTAATGGTGGTTCCAGCAAAAATCGAAACCAAACAAAAATCTCCTGTACTGGTTGAAGCAAAAAGATTTGTCCGTTCCAGCAAAAATTAATCGTGGTTCCAGCAAAAATCTAAGCAGCAAAAAACTTAGGTAGTGGATTGTAGCAAACGAATCAGCCAGTTCCAGCAAAGTCGACACCAAACAAAAGTCTCCAGTACTCGTTGAAGCAAAATGATTTGTCTGGTCCAATTAATATTAATCATGGTTCCAGCAAAAATCTGAGCAACAAAAAACTTCAGTACTCGTTGAAGCAAAAAGATTTGTCGGTTCCAGCAAAAACTAAACATGGTTCCAGCAAAATTCTGAGCAACAAAAAACTTCAGTAGTGAATCCTAGCAAATGAATTAGCCCGTTCCAGCAAGAAGTAATGCTAGTTCCAGCAAAAACAACCTTGCAGCAAAAGAACACCTGCGCCGATTGTAGCAAAAGAAAAAGCCAGTACCAGCAAAAACAAACATTGCTTCCAGCCAAAAACGCATCGCGTGGTGAAGGCGCATCCGGTTCAAGCATCAGGGGACACTGCTTTCACCTTCCAGCATCAGGGGATGCCGGTTGCAGCTTCCCAGTTGGCTGGTTCCAGCTACGAGGCGTGCTGGTTCCCACATCGCTTCCCCAGCAGGCGCCGGTCGCCGCCGTCGCGCACCATGGTGATGCAGCGGTGCCTGATCTAGCAGCGCGGTCGTCGTGCCCATTGCTGGCAGCTCCAAAAGATGAACGGCAAGAGAGAACATCAACCTCCTTTCCCAGGAGGAGAGGGTGTGTGTCCCACATGTATTTGAGCTCAACCTCGTGGGATCCATGGCGACTGCGCATGCCATGAATGAAAAAACAAAAGACACCAACGAACTCATCCCCTCTCATGGATCTATGGTGGAAATGTTGCGGGGAGTAGAGAAGCAACAAAAACAAGCTCAATTTCATGAGGATTGTGTGTGAATTCCTGGAGAGAGCACACAAAGGAGAGGTAAGAGAGATTGTGGACGAGGGGATTCAAGGACGAGCAGCACGAAGACGTCTTCGTGTTGTCTCCAGAGACTACGAGGGGATAAGATGAAAGCGGTGGGGATAGAGAGATAAGCTTTGTGGGTGGTGGGCCTGGGTGCCTAGCGACGCGAGCGAGGCGACCGACCGAGCGTTCAGCCGGTGCGCCGAACCCAACATTTCCCATTAAAAAAAGGCTCCAATGAGCCTGTCCGCCAAAACTTCGCTCTCAGGATACACTTCACTTTGGACCAGCAGTACACCAGATGCCGAATGCGTCTCACTCTTTCCACAGTGGAAAGCGTATTCCTTGCTGAACACCAAACTTGTCCCCAACGAAACCTACTTTACGCCTTCGCTGCCCAAACACCAATCTTGGCCCCAACGAAACCTACCAGTAGTACAAAACCCACAAAACCCCAGGAGCCAACTGCAAGAGAGAGGGGGGCAGCAGCAACCGGCGGCGGCAGGACCGGCCGCAGCCGCAGGAACCACCAGCCAGACGCCGGCGGCATGGCTCGGAGCGGCAGACGCAGCGGCGCCAGCCCGTGCGACCTGGACAGGGAGTTCGCCCCCCAGATCGCCCAGCTCCTCGCCGCCCCGCCTCCCCAGTCCGCCCAGGTACTCTCCCCTCCGCCCCTTCTCCCTGTTTGTCGGTCTGGTCTCTAGTGCGTCTGGCTGCCTGAGGACTTGTTAATTGTGCCTAGTTCTGTCGCGGTGTATGAATTTTCGGTGGAAAGGCTCGGATTGGGCTATTCCGTGGTGCCAATGTCGGGAATTTCGGTCAGGGAGCGCTGTTTGGGTGGTGATATTTGTGGTCTCTGGTTTTATCCAGTCCTGCTAACATAGGAGGATCTTACTTTTTCGTAGAGACATGAGAGCCGAAATGCGTGGTTCTCAATTAGTGTGCAACATTAACCCTCTGATTTGAAAATATTTGTTCACTGAGGTGTGAATTTAAGGTCCAAGGTGCCTCTTTTTTTAGCATTCCAGTAATTACTGCGTGTAATGAATTCAGTTCTGTCTGATGTTAAGTATAGAATGGAACTATCTTAAATGTGTTATTCGTGGTTTAGCTCGAACTTACTAATATAGGAGTATCTTAATGTTTCAGAGGAACACGAGACTGAGTCCAAATGTGTGGTTCTTGATTAACTTGCAATATTAGCCCCTTGATTTAAGTATTTTCTTCACCGAGGTGCAAATTTAAGATCCAAGGTGCCTGTTTTTTTAGCATTCCAGTAGTTGTTAGTGTGTGTAATCAATTCAGTTCAGTGTGATGTTAATATTATGATGGAATCGAAATAATATTCTGTGCTCCTTGCCGTGTGGCAGTTACAACTTATAAGCCGGTGGGTTAGTCGTTGAGGCCAACAAAGTTGCAGAAGCAAATCTTATGCTATGTTTTTATGGGTGTGGTTTTTATGTTTATTTTTCTGCTCCACCTTGTCATTTAAATCAAGTATTGCTGATGGTTTGTGGCTCACATTCGACAACATAACCATGTTTTCACTTTTCAGGAATACTATGAGGAGCTCATACAGTCCAAGAAACATGACGGCATAAGAGTCAACTACAAAGGCAATCATGGGAAAGGTACCGCTGCTGAATAAATACTTACCGTGTGGCCTATGGGCTAGCAATCCTGCAACATGATGCTTGTATACTGCTAAGATGTATTAACCGACGTGTTCTTGCAGGTGTTTGTGCAAACAAGGATTTTGCTGAAGGAGACCTTATTCTGAAGGATCAAATATTGGTTGGTGCACAACACAGTCTTAACAAGGTGTGCTTGCTATTGAGATTGATCCAGTGACACTCTTTGTTCATTTTTTATGCGGACTGTTCCTCCCTGGAAGTATTACATCCATTTTATGTGTTCTGTTGCAGATTGACTGCGTCGTGTGTAGTTATTGCTTCCGCTTCATTGGTTCTGTAGAGTTCCAGATTGGACATAGACTGTATTTTCAAAGCATTGCTTCAAGCATTGGCTGCAGCAGTGAGAGGCACTGTCATGGAAGTGATGTGGGATCAAGCACTTGCTCTTCTGGTGTAACAAAGGAAAAGAGTAGTACTTTGCCAGAAGAGGTCATAGAATCACTTATAACTGGCGATGTGTCACTGCCTTTCTCAGACCACTTCGCTTTACCAGAAATTGTTGCTTGTCAAGGATGCGAGGAAGAACGCTACTGCAGGTTTGAGTTCATAATAGCTTTGCAAATTCACCTTTCTTTTTTGAGGCATACATCTTTTGACTATTAAGTGTCTGATATCCAATTTTTCATCATATTTTCTAACTGTCGATCATGTTAAAATTCGAACCTGATTGCATCATGTATAACTTGCATCTATAGACCATATAACTCTGTTTTCATTGTTCATTGAGTAACTTGTTATTACAAGAAAGCATTTGAGAAAACTTTAACTTGTTCATTTTTGTGTAGCCAATCATGTGCAGATTCTGACTGGGAATCCTACCATTCTTTGCTCTGTGCTGGCCCCAACACTGAACCACCCCGAAGATCTGCTCTTCACAAATTTGTAGAGCATGCTAATGGTAAGCCTGCAGTACCCTTTGAATCTGTATCATCATAGTGGTATGTTCATCATTCATTGCATCTATGCTATATCAATTCATTCATGATCAATGATGGTTGCGATTGAGGTCCTGAAGCTGTTATCTGATAATACCCACCCTTTATTTTCAGAAACCAATGATATTTTCTTGGTTGCCGCCAAGGTATGTGATAGAAAATCTTTAATATGTTTTGGAAACTTTTATTATTTTCTTATTTTAGTGACATAGATGTTCATTTTAGTTTCTTGGTTGTCAAATTAAGCACCAAAATTTGACAGAAATGACCATGTTACTTTCTCAGTTTCTAACATTCTAGGGGAGTTATTTTTGTTATGCATTGGAAGACCAGCATCTATTGCAAAGCTTTTGACGTCAAATTTGAGTTGATATAAATGCCATTAGTGTTTGTCTAAAAAAATATTCAAACTGCAATTTTCTCATATTTAGAACCTTATTGCACAAGACAGTGACTAGCTACATCAATTGTACCAGATAGAACAAACAAAAGAATAACTGCACTCCCTTGTGTACCAACTGCAACTCATCTAAGGTTTCCTGATTCTCATGCATATGAGTTCATGCTTTTTATGTGCCAGGCTATCACTTTCACCATGTTGAGGTACAAGAAACTCAAAAGACAGAATGACTTCCAAAACAAATCAGCTGAATCAAACTTTTCTTTGCTTATGGAAGCCTGGAAACCACTTTCTATGGGCTTCAAAAAGAGGTAAGGGCATGACTTCAAAGTAATTGCTTCTCTTCTGATGACCACTTGTTTTTTTTACGGGATGACCAGTTATTCTTAGTGGGACTAATTAGCAGTTTTGTCTAATTGTGCAACTAGTGTTAAGCATGACTTTTGAAGGTTCTTTTTTCATGGTGTTAGCATAATTTGATGGTAACAGTATTTGTAACAATCAATAAGATAAGATACCTATGGGTGGATGTGTCATTTTTTTCTCCTTCGTTTTGGGTTACACTGGGATACCTATGGTTAGATGTGTCATTTCTTCTTCCTTGTTTTGGGTACACTGGTATATATGTTTTGAGCTCCATAGAACTACCGAATTAATGCTACTTTATAACTACCCTGATTTGTGCAAAAATATCTTGTGATTGCAGATGGTGGGATTATGTTGCTTTGCCTGAGGATGTTGATGCTTCCGATGAAGATTCATTTAGACAGGAAATAAGGGATCTAGCATTTACGGTAACTATGTCAGACCTATTACTTGAAAAACCGTACATTGATGACATGCAATAAGTGGACAAATTTGCATTGAAAGATGCCCTGTTTTAGTCTCTATAGATCTTGTTTCAGCCACTGGTAGGCTGATCATGGCTTCTGTATTTGCAGTCACTAAAGCTTCTCAAGGATGCGATCTTCGATGCTGAGTGTGCACCATGTATCCTTTTTTGGCAGTTACCAGACTTGTTTCAAACTTTCATACAATGAGTAGTTATCGTTGTCATTCGAGTTACCTTAACTTGCTCTAGTGTTTTCCCTTGAGGTGTATGGCCATATAATTGGCATGTTTGAGCTGAACAATCTGTAAGTAAATATACTTTCCCTATTTCATTTTGACGAACGTATATACTCTGTCATTGTTTTTCTCCCTGCCTGAAACAAATGCCGGTGCCGCATTCTTCCACCTTTTTCATTCCAGTGATTTGGTCGTTGCATCGCCTGTTGAAGACTATTTCATACACATTGATGATCTTCCAGATGATAAGAAGGTTTGTTTGATGGTTGCCTTATTTCTGTCATGTAAAGATGTTACTCTTGCTCTGACATGGGTTTCTTAACCTGAAATGCAATGTACCCCAGGAGGAAGCTGAGAAGGCCACAGCGCCATTGCTAGATGCTTTAGATGATGACTATGCAGTTCCTTGTGATGGTATGTGCGACTTCTTCCTCTCAAGTTATTCCTTTGAGAGTACTGCTATGTGCCTTTTTCTATCTGCACAACACTAAAAAAAAGTTGTTTCCTTGTGAATTTTTTGCTGCCAGGGACGGCGTTCTTTCCTCTTCAAAGCTGTATGAATCACTCGTGCTGTCCAAATGCTAAAGCATTTAAAAGGGATGAGGTGATGTATATTTCCCCCTTCAGCTGATTCACCCATTTTCCTACAAAACTGCCCGTCAGCAATGCTGATAAGTAGCTGCTGAACTACCGCCGCAGGATAATGACGGTCATGCCGTGATAATCGCTCTGGGGCCTATCAGCAAGGGCGAAGAGGTAATGTCATTTCTAGTCCTAGTGCTAATCATTCAACGAGAGAAAAATCATATCTCTGGCCCAACTGTTGTGCCACTTGCTGAAGTACTGTTGCACCGCTGCAGATCACCATCTCCTACATCGACGAGGATCTTCCGTACGAGGAGCGGCAGGCGGAGCTCGCGGACTACGGGTTCACATGTACCTGCTCCAAGTGCCAGGAGGAAAAGCCCAACTGAGCAGCAAGGCGGGCTGGACTTGCTGCAAATTTTTGGTCATTGTTAGTCGTCGGGGCATTGTGCTTGTAGTTTATGCTACTGGGTACTTTTGACGAGTTCAAACTGTAAGGGTAGGATTATGCAGAAAGAATGAGGGTGATGGTATCCTGATTTAAGTGGGTGCTGGGTTAATTAGGCTTTGTCCATGTCAAAACTTCTATCGAAATTGTCAGAATGTATAACCTGTAGTCGGTGCCACTGGAGGTTATTTTATCTTTTTTTCTTTTTGCAAATAAACTCTTGAATTACTCAGAATCACAAGTTACAATCTCGTTGTACAAGTTCCAAGACCTCATTTGGTCCAGAGCCTAGCCAAACCATAGTTTGGCGGTGCAACCTACCAAAATTGGCCAAAGCATGACTAACATTAGTACAAAAACGATGAGTATGAGTAATGCAAAAATAGCTTGTTGCTGTTAAAATGGCTGGAGATTTCATAAGACTCTGAATAATCTAGCAGATACGAAACAGACTATGTGAATAGTTTTAATTTTTTTTCTTACTATTTTCAAATGTTTCATAGCAGGCTAGCAGCCTGACAATAGCATGCTAGTATGGAATATTGAGATGGAGATACTCGAGAATTTGAGTGAATGTTGATTTTGCTATTGTTTCTGTTGATAGTTCACGATTACAGCAGCAACGAACAGAACATGAACAACCAGAGATCCCAATCAAACAGGTCATCACAACACAATGCAATCATTCTGTATCATGAATTAAAACCATTTAACTGGATATATACAAGAACCATACCACTCTTCCGATCCATCCAGGTTTTGCCACAAGTCTTCTCTCCTTATCGGTACGGAAGCCGATAAACTGTCCTGAGCCTGGATGTGGAGCGGTTAAAGCCTGCCTTTCTGAGTTCCTCTTGGATGTCTTGCGGCGCATCATTCGTATCCGTGAGGCTGAGCTGAACAAGGTTTGGTCGGGGGATGCGAAGCTCATTAAACGCATCGGCAGGCGGCCATTGCACAGGGCCCTCCAGCTCCACCGTCTGAAGATACTGAAGGCCCTGCTCAGTGAAGACACACGGAGGGATCTCGTCGCCTTTCAGCTTCAAGTGGCCAAGGAGATGCATCCTCCCGAGAGCAGCCTTGAGTGCGGCCCCGTGCTTAGCATCCTCCAAGCCTTGCAGCTCCAGCGACCGGAGCTTTGTCATCTTGAGCAGCGGGCAGTTGAGCTGGTCCCATTCCCCTTGGTGGGGCTTCACACCATGCACTGTCTGCAGCTCATCCAGTTCTTTTCTGATGGGAAAGACCTGGACGGGTGGAAGCTTGAGGTTGTCTGCGAGCACATGCCGCAGTGTCTTCATCGTCCACAAGGAAATGTGAATCTCCTCCACCTGAGTGCCCCTTATGTCCAGTGTCTGCAGATTGGTCAGCCTCTTCATGCTGGACGGGAGATCCTTAAGGTCTTTGCTGTCAACACGCAGGTACCGCAGGTGGACCATGCAGCCAATGTCATCAGGCAACTTGTTAAGTCTCAGTCCCTTTAAGGAGATGAGGCGCATGAACTTGGACCCGCGCAGAAACCTCATGTCATGCCAACGATGCTTCATGTCCACACCTTGGCTGTCATCGCTCTGCTCATCTTCCTCCTCGACCCGACATATGAAGGAACGCAGCTTAGGGAATTTGTTGGTGAGCGTGGTATACCTACCACCAAAGCTCATGAAAGAGAGGCGGCGCACCGACGATGGAACAAAGGCATCATGCATGTCATGGACCTCGACGAAGCCAGCCTCGCGAGCCTCTGAATGCAGGAACCCGTGGAGGTTCCTCTGAACCCTGACCCCCTCTATGCCACCGGCGGCATTCGTATCTTCAATTTGAACAAGGCATCTCAAGACCATTTCCTTGAGGTAGTCATGACCCAGCTCCTCCATAGTCTTGCCCTTCTGTGGCTTGATGAAACCCTCCGCCATCCACATCTGCACCATCTGACTGGCGTACTGAACAATGTTCTTGGGGAAAGCCGCAAAGTAGAGGAAGCATGACTTGAGGTCGTTGGGAAGGTCTTCAAAGCTTGCCCAGAAGACCCTCTCAATCGTCGTTGTTGTGGACGTGTTAGCTTGTGTTGCAGGGCCTGTCTGCCACTCGATACACTTCCCCTGTACATCTTCAGTTATCTGGTTGCCTCTGCTGTCCTGTTTCTCCTCCGTTCCTGGTCCAGGCCTAAGCTGTTGCAGCACTGCTTCCCACTGCCCTGGCTTCTCTTTGAATCGGAGCAGTCCAGCGAGAACCACTATAGCCAGAGGGTAACCCCCTGTTATATCGTAAACGATCTTGTCATACATCCTCGTGTTTCCCTCTTCGTTGGACTCTTCTTTCCTGAAGGACCTCCAGTGCGACATGATCCTGTCGTATATGCCCATGTGTTCACTCTCACTGTATTCTTGTTTCCTGAAGGCCCTCGAACGGAACAACTGTCCGCTCTGTTTTTCATCTAGACGGCTCAACAGGTGGATTTTGTTGACACCGTCTTTGTTCATGCTATTAGCATGCCATGCTACTTCTTCGTACTCACTATCCAATACGAGTACCACACTGCTACCAGTATTGCCAACTGGAAGGCTCGCTCTCACACAGTTGAGCATGGTTTTTGAGGATATCCCACTAAGAATCATCAGGTACTTTTTATTCGCCAGTAAGCGACGGATCTTGCCAGGGGTATGAATGGCTTCCCTTGACTCACCACAGTTTGCTTTTTCTTCTTCTGTGCAATGTTCTGCTATTCTCCGGTAGATTTCCCGGAGAAGATCTTCCGTGCTCGAATCTGGTACGACGGGGTACCCAAATATAAGGTCAAAGTTTTCATGAATTTTGTCGCCAAGAACAGATATGAGTGTGCTCTTTCCGACACCACTCTCTCCAAATATGGAGATGAACATTGGCTCTGGATGATCCTCACGAAACAGCATTCCCTCAATAGTCTTCACATGTTCGTCAAGCCCTATGGCGCTTGCACGATCATCCCGCCTGTTCACTGACAGTATTAATTAATGCCAAAAGTTGACTTAAGAAGGCATACTGTATTCCCGCAAAAAAAGGCATACTGTAAAAGGAGTGTGTTGCTACAATTGTGTTCCATAAAGAAAAAGGGCTCCACTTGCTTAAGCTACAATTTGTTTCTTCGTTTATTTTTCTAAACAAAATGACGCCTCAAACGTGTTGCAGAGTATATTATTATAGAATTAAAAACTCCCTAAAAATGGGGAGAATTAGGGGGTGTGACTGGAAGAGGTTGAGAAGAGAGTCATGTACCATGCCGCAATGGCTGTCGTGGAAGATGTCAACGCCGCTAATGATGTATGCTCGATCTTGTATTCCTTTTGGTTCTCCGAAATTTGCTCCAGCCTGCTCTTAATTCTTTTAAGTCGACTAGACAATCCATGCCGGACAATGATTTGAGTCCAGAAGCCCGTCAAGTATTTGCACCATTTTATCAAGCCTTGATAACCCTGGCTTTCTAGATCAACCTGTTATTCAACAAAAATATCATGGGTAAGATAACAAAAAATATAACAACGCTGGAACCGGCTTGATCGAGCTACATCTTGGATGCAAACTATATGCAGATCAAAATTGTGGTATTATATGCTATAAAACAAAGTAATAGGCAACATCATGTCTTTATTTTCATTCTTTTCATTTCAATAGAACCAGGGAAATTTGTCTGAAAACAAGAACATGTGAAGTTGTAAGCATGGTCGAAATTGTTCTTATTACTAGATAGTGATAGGGTTCAAAACGACCAAGAATACCAGGACGAGGGTTCTATTTTGAAAGTTTTAGACCAAGATTGAATCATGGCTAGGTCACTCTGGTCCCTTAGATGCTAAAGAGATTTAGAAGTTTAGACCAATATGTCTGCTCAATGTGAGTTTCAAGATCTGGTAACGAACAAACTGATGTTGTAACTGCTAAAGTCATCTCTCCCATAGAAATAACCTTTGTTAGAGGGAGATATATTATGGAAGGGGTTTTAATTTTACATGAAACCCTCAATTCTATACACCCCAAAAGAGAATGCTATGAGTCCAAGTCCAAGCCTCCAAGGTGGACGCTGAAAAAGCTATGATAAAATAAAATGGCCCTTCGTTTATCAAATGCTCAGACTGAAACACTTCCATGACAAATGGGGTGCTTAGTTATGAAAATAATGGGAGGAGGGTATGCATGTATTAAGGTGAATGATTCTATTGGACCATATTTCCCTACATGCAAAGGGCTGAGACTGCGGGATTCTTTGTTTCCTCTATTATTTGATTAGCAGCTGATGCTCTTGCTATGTTGCTCGATAATGATAGAGATTCTGGTTTACTTAAAGGTCTCTTCGATGATACAGTTGATGGTGATGTCAACATGCTTCCCGTGTGTTGATGACACTATCTCTCTATTGAAGGATAATTTTAGTAGTGCTCATAACTTGAAGTTTATTTTGTGTGATCCTTTAACAAATGCCAGGACTCAAGATATACTTCCATTAAAATGAATTATTTCTGTTAGGAGATGCTAAGGGAAAAGCTTCAGAATATAGAACTATTTTCTAACTTCCAACGAAATATCTTGGCATCCATGTACATGAAGCTAGAATTTCAAACAAATCATGGAAATCTGTAGAGGATAAAGTTGATATATTTTTTTGTAAGTGTTGGCAAGGAAAAATGTTGTATAGGGGCAGATTGATTCTTATACGATCTTGTTGCATATGATGTCCTTGTACAGACTTCTTGATGGTAATAGACAAAGAATGGATTTCTTCATATCTAGACTCCTTTGGCAGGAAAATCATGAAAAGAAAAATTACCATCTAGTTAGATGGTCTGAGGTATTTTAACCTAAGAATCGGGGCGGTTTAGGAATTTTGAACCTATCTTTTGAGTAAAGCACTTTTAGCTAAATGGCTATGAAAACCCTAATGGCATCTGTCAATCTGTTTTGAGGAATAAATATATTGAAAACCAATGTGCTACTAGGGTGGAAACACAAAATGGGGACTCCTAGTTCTGGAGAATTTAATGGATGTTAAGAAATTATTTTACCCCCTATGCCGCGACATTGTTGGCAATGGGATGAATACTCGCTTCTGGGAAGATTGGTGGACAGGGGATAGACCTCTCATACAAGCTTATCCTAGGCTATATGGTATATGTTTCAGTAAAATACCCCGTTTGTTGATGCATTAAATAATGGCTAGATAGCATACAATTTCGAAGAACTCCGTGGGGAGACTCCTTGCAGTTATTTGAGTCGATTAAACTTTTGTGTGTTGACATGGTCCTGACTGACCAATCTAATATTACAGTAAAACATACTTAAAGGTTGCTGGTCAATCTTCCCCCGCAGCTGGAGAGACACTTTTGTTGCTTCTCCAGTGTGAAAATTAGAAAATTTATGTGGCCTATTCTGAAGAAAAGCATACTCAAGGGCAGGGATGATAATTGTCAACTTTGTGGACAAGTTAAAAAGTATCGATCATTTGTTCTTGAGATGCTCTGTAGCTAGACTAATCTGGAATATCATGAAATGCTCTGTAGCTAGACTAATCTGGAATATCATGAAATGCTCTATTAACTTTCAAACGGTTCCTAAGCAGGAGAAATCCTTGCTGATGTACGTGTGGCAGGCTGGCAGCTGTACTTTTGACCATTTGGCATGTTAGAAATGGCGCCTGCTTGGGCTATTACTAATCCTTTCGTACTCACTCATCTGGTTGGCCATTGGCTCAATTTGAAAAAGGCGAGGTGCTGAAAGTAGGGGGTAAAGCTCTTGGAGCAAGTAGCAAATGAAGTCTCCCAGAGATGCGCATGGCTGCAGACCTTGAGTAGAAAACCACAAATGCTTGTTGATGGAGAAAGCTTACCTGTTTTGCTGTCTATTAGCCTTGATCTAGCTGAGTTCTAGGTTGATACACCTGCTTGTTAGAGCGGGGGAGGTCCGTCGGGGGCGGTGTCTCGGGCGGCAGACGGCGGGGTCGGGCCTCATCTCCGGCCGGCAGCGAGGGATGGCACCCCGTGGTGCTGCTCGGAGTAGGTAGGGCGGATCTGGCCCGCCCCGGAGCAGGCAGGAGTCCAGATCCGGGCGACCAATCTTTCCGGCGGCGGAGCAGCATAGAGCTGGGTCTGGTGGGCGCGTGGGGAGAGCTGCCGTAGGTTGGCTTGCTTGGGGCGTCCAAGGCCGGTTGGCGTTGAGCATCTCCGACAGGGTCGCTAAATAAGCCACGCGCCTGAAGAAACGGCTTTTAACCACTCCCCGCATGGAACAGAACTGCATCTCGCGCTGTTTTCTTCCACCGTTTGTTATCGTGGCGACTCGCCCGCGCGAATGTCCACCAACCGCTGGATCTGAAATATTCACTCACGCCGTGACTTCTCCCTCCTCTCCGGCAACCCGTCGGCGCTCCCCTCGAGCACCCCGTTCCGCCGACGAACAGCGTCCGGAGGGGGTTTGCAGCTCGACGCCCACAAGGGATTTGACAAAACGCTTGCAAGGTATATATTGGTACTAAACTTCATTTTTGTAAATGAATTTGTAGTTTTTTGTCTGTAGTGTTAAATTTTAGTTTGAATTCAAATTTGTAGATGAGTTCATCCCACGATTCTTTCGATGAAGGATTTGATCTTCAAGAGGAGAGGACCTCGCAATGGTCCTAGCTATGCACATCAACAAAAAGCCGAAGCACGGTGGTTTGGCTTTTGGTCGTCAGAAATTGTGGGGGGAAAGGATCGATGTCGACAACAGATTGATGAGGAACTATTTTGCAGAGATTCCCATATACCCCGAGTCCTACTTTCGGCGTCGTTTTAGGATGAGCATTGAGTTGTTCAAACACATTGCAGAGAGACTGGCGAGCCATGATCGGTTTTTTTCAGCAAAGGAGGAACACCGCTGGAGAACTTGGGCATAGCACCTTTCAAAAGGTGACCGCCGCTTTGCGTATGTTGGCATACGGTATTCCGGCGGATCTAGTTGATGATCACTTGGCCATGGGTGAGAGTGAAGCCATCATGTGTGTCAAGCGCTGTCAAGCGCTTCGCGGTTGGAATCGTGCAAGTGTTTGGTCCGGAATATTTGAGAACTCCCAATGCTGAAGACGACGCAAGGCTTTTGGAGATGAATAAAGCTCGCGAGTTCCCAGGTATGATTGGCTCAATAAATTTTATGCATCGGAGTTGGAAGAACTGTCCTAAGGCATGTCATGAACAATTCCACGGTCAGAGAAAAGGTTTCATTATAATACTTAAAGCGGTGGCCGATCAGGAGACTGGAATTTGGCATGCTTTTTTCGAATGCCAGGATCTTTGAACGACATCAATGTTGTTCAACCGTCACCACTCGTGAATAGTATTGCAAATGATGAACTGCCACCGGTGCAGTTTGTAGCAAATGGTCATACATACAGCTATGGCTACTATCTTGCGGATGGCATCTATCCAAGGTGGCAAACATTTGTGGAGCCATTAAAAAAAACCGGAAGGTAAGAAAAATGTTGATTTCTACAATGCTCAGGCGACGGCTAGGAAAGATGTGGAGAGAGCTTTTGGGATTTTGCAAGCTCAATTTGCTATTGTGAGAGGACCGGCTAGATTTTGGGATCAAAATATCCTTTGGTACATCATGAACGATTGTGTGATCATGCATAACATGAACACTGAGAACGAGCGTGGGCAAGATTTGGACTATTCTCAGTATGAGTTGTTGGGACGTCCTATGCGAGTGCGGAGGAGGGTTGAGAGGGTGACCACCTTTGTTGCCTCCTATCATGTCATTCAACGTGCCGAAACGCATGATGAACTTCAAAAGGATCTAGTCAAGGAGTGGTGGGCATGGAATGGGCGACAAAATGCATGATGTTGTACTATTTATTTGTTGTATTGGTCATAAACTATTTGTTGTATTGAAGTTTAATTATTTGTTTGAGTTGTAATAATAATTAAACTATTTTTTGACGATTTATTTTGTGTTTGTTTGATCTTCTTTGTTTCACATTAAATGCAAAAATGTTGTTTGTGTTGGGCTCGCACGCCCTATTTTGCCGTGCCTGCTGAAGCTGCGCTCTGGCGCGCTAAAAAATTTTAGCGCCCGGTGAAACAATTGTGTGGTCCGGCGCGTAAAAGGGCTATTTTGGCACTGTAAAAAAAAATTATGTGCCGCTCCGTAGCGCGTCTGTTGAAGATGCTCTAGCTTCTGACTTGTGAGGCTACTCTGCCGAGGTCGGCCCATTGGTCTCATACTCTCATTGCTCGAGCAATTCTTGAAAGCTGATGCAATTGTTCCGTGCCATAAAGCTGAAATAGTTCGCGCGCTGGTATGTGGGTGATCGGAATGGAGTAGGCCATGGCGGAGAAGGGAGGCGTAAAGGATGGATCAAGTCAAATCTAATGGTTAGAAACACTGGCGGAACTATCTTGGGGCAAAACCAGGCCATGGCCCGCCCAACTTAGGAGCATTTCTTCTTACTGTTTACCTAGATCAGGATGTGAAACACCAGCCTAGAGACAATTTGCTTCAGCTTAGCCTGCCCAGCCCGCCCTGCTTTTTGTTTCAAGCTCCGCCACTGGTTAGAAATACTAGTACAGTATTAGAGTGATGTGCATCTCATGTGAACACAAGATTTCACTCACTCGAATTCATTTATATGCCTGCACATTTGTCGTTCGATAGCAAACCCGCACGGGCATCCTACTAGCAGCTAGTCCACAGAATCACTTGCTACAAATTCTTCATCTGATTTTTTTTGTGTATTCTAGAAGAAAAAAATTGTGATTTTTTTCTTTTAGGGGAACATCCAGAAAAACAAATGAATAAATTGATAAAACTGATCAAAAGCAGGGGAGGCACCTCGTGGAAGAACTCATCGAGCGCGTCCTCGACTTGGAAGGCGACATCGCGTGTTTGGCGCACCCAGACGCGGGTGAGCCCGTCGGTGCCACTCCGGCGCTTCCGGTCGGCGTCGCGGATGAAGGCCTGAAGCCACTCCAGCCGGTCGCGCAGCAGCATCATGTCGTCCCCCACCTGAGCCAGCAACTTGGCCTCACTCGCCGCGAGCTCCCCGAACTTGGAGAGCACAGCCGTGATCGCAGTCTCCGCCATGGCTTGTTCTCCCTTAACTTGCTCTCTTCTGATCACTTGGCTAAGTCGGGAATAGATCTCGGCGTGTTTGTGTCTATGTAAGGTGCTAATCATCTGCTGGGTTGACCAGCTCAGGTCAACTTGCAAGTCTGTTTTTCTTTTCCCTTTTTCTTTTCGAGGCAACTTGCAAGTCTAGTTAGTTGAACTATTATAACCGGAGCTCGTCATTCCAGATTCAATAATTATACTTAATGACGTAGAGCGAAGACCAGGACTCCCACCAGCCTATGGCTAATTGGCTATGTGAGGACATCGTGCATCTTAGAGCACGTATAACTTGTTTGAATTGAGAATGGAAACTTCTATTGATCGGAAGTTGCAAATTACAATTCGAAATATGTAAGTGGTAACCGTGTGGCAGATTGCAAAACTGCCACACGCATCCAGCACCGTTAGATCCGATCACGCGCACCCACCCCCACCGGATCTATCTACACGACCGGTGGAAAACTGGTCAACACGGCGGTGCGGGCACGCGGCTCCTCTGGACGAGGATGTAGGTGACGGTGCTGGCGACTTCCAGCGGGGAAGGCTTGGGTCTGGACGGCAGATCCGGTCGCCAGCGTCATGGGGCCGGCTGAATTTGGTCGAGGACGGGCGAGTAAGATGGATAAACTCTATCTATATTCAACTCAGGTACAGGGGCGTGTTTATATACACGAAGAGTACAGAGGGAGGAGAGAGTTATCGTTACAACAGAACGTGGCGATCACGCCGTACGTGCAAGCGAGGGCGAAGCCGACGTGCGTGGGAGCGTGGGCGTGGGCGCCTGGAGACTCGCTCCTGTAGTTATCCATCATCTGAACGTGGGGCTGTACCATGTTTCCAACACCCCCCGCAGCCGAAACAGGGTGCTCGCGAACGTTGAGGCTGGATTGAAAGTCCATGAACACACGCGTAGGGAGCCCCTTTGTGAAGATGTCGGCGAACTGGGAGGAGGTCGGCACATGCAGCACGCGCACTTCACCGAGAGAGACACGCTCCCGGACGAAATGAAGGTCGATCTCCACGTGCTTCGTGCGCTAGTGCTGGACGGGGTTGCTGGACATGTACATGGCGCTGATGTTGTCGCAGTAGACCACGGTGGCGCGCGTCGGCGGACGGCGCAGCTCGGTGAGCAGCTGCCGCAACCAACAAGCTTCGGCGACGGCGTTGGCGATGCCCCGGTACTCAGCCTCCGCGCTCGAGCGGGAGACTGTGTTCTGCCGCTTGGAGGACCAGCTGACGAGGTTGTTGCCGAGGTAGACCGCGAAGCCGGACGTAGACTTGCGGGTGTCAGGGCACCCCGCCCAGTTGACGTCCGAATAAGCCGTCAGGTCGCTGTTGGCGGAGCGGAAGAAGTGCAGGCCGAGGTGAGCAGTCCCACGAACATAGCGGAGGATCCGCTTGACCATCCGGTAGCGAGCCTCCCGTGGGTCATGCATGAATAAGCAGCACTGTTGGACGGCGTAGGACAAGTCCGGGCGTGTGAGAGTAAGGTACTGGAGCGCGCCTGCGAGGCTACGATAGAGCGACGGGTCATGGAAAGCGGGGCCAGCGGCAGCGGAGAGCTTGGAAGTGGTGTCTACTGGAGTGGAGACGGGTTTGCAGTTTAGCATCCCTGTGCGCTCAAGTATTTCCAGGGCATGTTGCTCCTGGGAGAGGTGGAGACCATCGGTGGTGTGGTGGACATTAATCCCCAGGAAGTGGTGTAGAGAGCCCATGTCTGTCATGGAGAACTCGCGATGGAGCGCGGAGATGATGGACTCGAGGAACGTGGCGGTGCTGGCAGTGAGAATTATGTCGTCGACATACAGAAGTAAGTACGCCGTGTCATTGCCGCGGTGGAGAGAGAACAAGGAGGAATCCGCCTTGGACGCCGCGAAGCCGAGGCTGAGAAGGTACGAGGTGAAGCGGGCAAACCAGGCACGCGGGGCCTGCTTGAGGCCGTACAGGGAGCGGTTGAGACGACACACGTCCCGCGGCCGCGCAGTGTCAACAAAGCCGGCTGGTTGAGTGCGGTAGACCGTCTCAGCGAGGTGCCCATGGAGGAAGGCATTCTTGACGTCGAGCTAGTGGATGGGCCATGAGCTGCCGGCGGTAAGACTAAGGACGACGCAGATCGTGGCGGGTTTGACAACGGGACTGAAAGTCTCGCCGTAGTCCACCCCAGCCTGCTGTGTGAAGCCACGGAGCACCCACCGGGCCTTGTACCGCGCCAACGTCCCATCGGTGTTGAATTTGTGCCGAAAGATCCATTTGCCGCTCACCACATTTGCACCCTGCAGGACGGGAAACCAACGACCAAGTGTCATCCCGCAACAACGCATTATATTCCTCGAGCATGGCAGCAGCCCAGTTCGGGTCCTTGAGTGCTACACGGTAAGAGGAGGGGATGGGGCTGATGGGTTTGGCAACGGTGAGGTTGGCGTGTTGCTTTGGGAGAAAGAAACCAGATTTGGCACGTGTATGCATGGGGTGCAAATTCTCGGGTGGGCGTACGGGAATCGCGCGGGCGGGCAGGCGACGTGGGGTTGGCTGCGGGCGAGTGGTGGGCGCGGAACCAGGGGAGGGGGCTGCATGGATGGGACTGGCGGCAGGCAGGGGACCCGCGGTGTCGGCTGGTGCGGGGGAGGCAGGAGCAGGGCCCGCGGTGGGGTTAGGTGGGACGGGTGGCGGCGTACGCGGGGAGACGGGCGCGCGGGGCGCGGGTGCCAGCTGGGGCGCAGGCTGGCGAGTGGTGGGCCGGTGCACGGGAGGAAGGATCGGCTGGATACGCGCGGATCCCGAGGCCGCAGGTGCCGCCCAGTCCGAGGTAGGTAGGATCTGGGGATGCATGAGGTGGGGAACTGGATCGTTTGTGGCACGGTGGGGCGTAGCGGGTGGTGTGGGAGGCGCAGCAAACGGGAAGACACACTCGTCAAAAATCACGTGGCGAGAGATGTAAACGCGCCGCGAGCGTAGGTCAAGGCAACGATAGCCTTTATGCTCAAGGGGATATCCTAAAAAAACGCAAGGAGTGGAGCGCGGGGCGAGTTTGTGTGGGGCAGAATGAGTGAGATTGGGAAAGCACAAACAACTGAAGATGCGAAGGTGATCGTAGGTTGGGTGGCGGCCGCGGAGAAGGAAGTATGGGGTTAGATGGTTGACGGCAGAGGAGGGTCTCCGGTTGATGAGATGGTTGGCGACATGATATTCGGGTGGCATGTGGGCATGAACGAGGAGTGTGCGGAGAACATCGTTAGTCGTGCGGAGAAGGCGTTCAGCCTTGCCATTCTGCGGGGATGTGTGTGGGCAGGAGAGGCAGAAGGAGACGCCAAGTTGAGAGAGGTAGTCGCGGAGGGTGTGAGAAAGGAATTCCCCTCCGTTGTCGTATTGCACACACTTAATGGGAAGGTTGTATTGGGTATGCACGTAAGCGAAGAATCGTTGAAGAGTGGCGGCTGTGTCAGATTTGTGACGAAGCGGAAAGGCCCATGAGTAGTGCGTGTAGTCGTCGAGTATGATGAGGTAGTACTGGTAGCCAGAAAAACTACACACCGGGGAGGTCCACAAATCACAGTGAATAATCTGAAAAGGTACTGTAGTACGTGTTTGAGAATCAGAAAACGGCAACCGCGGCGAGTGTCTCTGGTCATCACGTGGAAACGGCGGCTCAGGCCGCGGATCAGCTGCAGCGTGAGAGAATGGTCCGTGACCGGTTCCCCCATGTCGGCCATGGCCGCGGCGAGTTGTTGGAGACAACGGCAGTACTGGGCGATCGTCATGTCGCCCTGGACGGTGGCGCGAAAGTCGGCGCCGATGTGGATGGCGCGGCCGGCGACGTTGTCGCGGAAGAAGATCTCCAGCTGCTGCCATAGGTGGAACGCGGTGCTCTCCGGTGAATGGATGGTGTCGTAGAGGTCGTCGGAGATGGTCGCGTAGATCCACAAGACGATAGTGATATCGTCGTTGCACCACACCGCATTCTCATGCAGTGGTTCGGCTTCCTCTAGGACGTGGTCTTCGGCCTGGTACTTGCACAGGACGTACCAGAGCAGCTGCCTCCACTTCGAGTAGTTCCCGGAGTCCAGGGACAGCTTGAACGGGATGTAGGAAGAGATGTTAACATGATGCATGGATGGGGCAGGGGCGACGGGAACCTGGGGTGGAGTGAGAGCGAGAGCATGAGGGTTGGGCCGCAGGGCGTGCAGTGGAGGGGCCGCGTCGACGGGGGGCTGGCGCAGGGCGCGAGCGTTGGGGGAGGCCGGTGCCGCGGTGAAAGGCCGCGCAGGAGGGGCGACGGGCGCCGGTGCGGCCGGCGCTGGCTCGGGGGCGACGCACGGAAGGATGAACGGCGCGTCGGCGTCCCCGAAAGAACGAGTGCGACGGAGCGGACGTCGGAAGCTCATGGAGGAAGCGAGGGAGGAATCGGTGGACGTCTGATACCAAGTAAGATGGATAAACTCTATCTATATTCAACTCAGGTACAGGGGGCGTGTTTATATACACGAGGAGTACAGAGGGAGGAGAGAGTTATCGTTACAACAGAACTTGGCGATCATGCCATACGTGCAAGCGAGGGCGAAGCCGACGTGCGTGGGAGCGTGGGCGTGGGTGCCTGGAGACTCGCTCCTGTAGTTATCCATCATCTGAACGTGGGGCTGTACCATGTTTCCAATAGGGCGGAGGTAATCGACAGCGGCAGGTGGCGGCACAAGGGCTCTGTCTCGGGACTGAGGTCGACCAGGGCGGTCTATGCGAGGAGGAGACGAGGGCGAGAAGAAAGGAACAGAGAGGAATGGCTGGGAATAGAAGGGAGAAGGGGCACGGCTGGGTTTCTGACCTGCTTCGGTGGCCGGTGGTCATCGGCCGCATGGAGGCTCGTTATCTCCCACAAATGTGTCAGCGGCATGGCTCATCCGCCATGCCAGCGATGGCCATCTCCAAGTAGCCACTGACGCTGGCCGTCGCACTGGTGCTGCTTTTCTAGCAAATCACCATGTGGACTTGCTGCAGCAAAATACAGTAGCTGCCGTGCAAGTGGTCGATGGATGAACCCTATGCGCAAGCGTCACTCCCGCTCCGGCCGGCTG